TCCACCCTTCGGCGCACCTGGTCCATCGACTCCAACGGACCACCCCTCCTGGCCCGCAACCCTCATACTGCACTGACGGAGGGGGCGACTGAGCGGTATGAACAGGCTGTGCAGGGCGGTGATGAGGCGGAGAAGGTGCTGGCGCAGGATCGCACGTGCTTCCCCCATAATCCACGCGTGGAGGCGGAGACCAGACATCCGACGCCTGGGTTTTTCAACACAGACCCTTTCGCCAGGGCCGGTTTCTCATTCCGCAGGCAATGTTCTGACGACCCTGGGGCCCAGCGAGGACCCCTGGAGGCCGAAAACGGCCTAAAACCTCCAGCCTTGATCTTGTCTCGACGCAAGCATGTTTGGCTTTCGCGTCATAGGTCGGCTCCCCAGCGGCCATCCGGGACGCCTTGGGCACCAGCGGAACGGCCTGGGCGAGGCGCAGCTGTTGGAACGCGTGCCGAGGCTGGAAAACCGCCAGGAACCTTCTGTGGCAACTCATGCGAACCTCACGTACCATCTTGTCCGCTCTTGCGAATCGACGCCAGTCGACGCTGAATCGACGCTAAGCGATGCTAAATCGACGTTAAATCGACGTTAAATCGACGCCAGCCGACGCTACATCGGCGCCACCTCGTCGACTCCCCGACGCCAATCAACGCTCATTGACGCCAGAGACAGAATTCCGAGGGTACACGAGGCTCCCATGACCTGCCACCGAAAACCTCAGACTGTTGTTTGTTATGGTGCGCAGACGGCGCGGGCAAGCGCGCAGCAGAGGACGCTTACCACACGTCCCGATCCCCCGCCACAGCGGCGGTTCTGTGGCGGCGCCGCCAAGCACTCTGCGGTCCAGGGCATGCACACTACGGTCCAGAGCATGATAATCTACGGTGACGGCATTGGATAAGGAAACCTTCGACAAGGAATCCAGGGTCTGGAAGCCAGTGCAGAGCCAATCGTGGATCGGCCATGGATGTCACCGCCGCCCTCATCAGACAGGGAACCCCCCAGGGCCTGAAGCCTCCCTGGACGTTCCTCAACGAACGCCCCCACCGTATTCGCATCGATCCCCTCTCGCTGCGCAACTACGTATACTCGGTGCACAAACCTCGCTTTAGTCAACCTCCCCTTAGTGACGGCCTGGGACCGAAACCGATGGACCTGGACCCGCAAAAATGACGGCCGCGGCGCCCTCTCGCGAACCGAAAACGGCCAATTCTTTAATCGACGTGTCAGGGTAGGAGGTCTATCCACCTCCGATAGACCACCGAAAACCTCGAAGCCCAGGTGGGCGAGCAGCGGCGGCGGCAGCGGCAGCAGGCCCGCGGCCCGTCCTGGCCAGCGCGGTGGCCACGCCCTCCGCGGCGGGCGCACGCCTCTCGGCGGCGCGCCCCCGGGGGGTCTCCTCCTCCTCCTCCTCCTCCTGCTCCTCCTCCTCCTCCTCCTCCTCCTCCTACTCTCCTCCTCCGCTCTCCTCCTCCTCCTCCTCTCCTCCTCCCTCCTCCTCCTCCTCTCCTCCTCCCCCTCCTCCTCCTCCTCCTCCTCCTCCTCCTCTCCTCCTCCTCCTCCTCCCCCTCCTCCTCCTCCTCCTCCTCCTCCTCCTCTCCTAAGCGCCTTCTCAGGAGGCTCGGTGAGATGCCCCCCCGCCTTCCCGAGGAGCTCTCGAGGCCTCGTCCCCGAGAGCACACGGGCACAGCAGCTCTCAGAAGGCCTGCTCAGAAGGGATCGGGAGAAGGCCCTCTCGGAGGGCTCGGGCGTGCTCCCTGGGCCTCCCCGAACAGTCGTCGAAGCCCCCGCCCCGAAAGCGCACGGGACAAGAGCCGAGGGCGCGAGGGCTTCTGAGAGGCCCCGCCGCCTTCCGAGAGGGCCTCCTCCCTCTGGCCCCCCCCCTCGCTCGCCCCCCCCGCTCCCCCCCTCCTCGCTTCCCCCCCCCCCTCGGGATCCCTCTCGGTTCCCCACCCCCCTCGCTCGCCGCCGGGCCTCCGCCTCGCGGCCGCCGAGCGGACCGCCTGCGGGCACCCCCTGGTCGACCCGCGGGCCTCCTCCAGCGGCGGCCGCTCCAGCGCGTCCGGGCGCCCGCCGGCCCGGGCGCCCAGCCCCCCCGCGGGGGCGGCCTCGGGCGGAGGGAGGGGCGCCAACGCCGCTGCGCACCCCTGCCTTGGCTGGCGCTTTTTTGCTCGAGGAGGAAAGAGCGCCACGAGCATGCGCTCTCGGCGCTCCGCGCGGGTCTCTTGGATCTGCGCCGGAGGCCCCCCCTGGCGGCGCCTCCGGCGCCGCCCCTGGCGCGCGGAGGGCGCCAGGGAAGGGGGTCCAGCGCAGATCCAAAAGATCCCCGCGGAGCGCCGAGAGTTCATGTCTGCAGCGTTTTGTGTCCTCTTCGACTCGTGGGCCTCCTGTGAGCCCCTCGCCGCCACGGCTGGATTCGTACCGAAATGCTGGTCAGAGCACACCCAGCGGGAGAGGTCCTGGGAGCAGCGGTGCCGGTATCTGTTTTTGTTCCCCCGTGGCCAGCGACAGCTGGGCCGTGAGGTTCGAGGAACGAAAAACTGCACAAGCATAAACTGTCGGAGCTCTGGGCGGTTTTCTTGGATCGGCGCCGGCCCACCTGGCGTCGGCCTCCAAGAGGCCTCCCAAGAGGCCACGCTCATTGAATGTCCTTAGGTGTTTGAAGGATTGTGGCGTTCTCGACTTCTCGGCTTTCCGACGCTCCCAGACGGCCCTAGAGGCCCCCAAGACCACCCCAAGACGGCCCAAGATGCCTCTACTAGGGCCCTCGTCTTCCCCTCCGTCATGTCGTTCGCTTCCCCCCTCGCCCTTCCTTCTCTCAGCGTACTCTGCATGAGTTTTTTACTGAGGCGGAGCGCCCCTGGCGCGCTGCACGCGCCAGGCAAGGGGGTCCACCGCCGATCCGAGAAAGCTGCGCGGACATCCGACAAATCGTGCTTCAGCCGTTCTTGCTCCTCGAGAGGTGCCCAGGCCACTCCTCTCGTCTGCCCGGCCCATCCAGGCGTGACCGCTCGACGGCCCAAAAGTAGGGCGCGAACACGTCGGCCGAGATGTTGGCGTGCCAGCCGAGCATCTCCAGGGCCGCCAGCTCCCAGCAGAGCAGGCTCTCGCAGGCGTAGCCGGTGAACTGCGCCGCCTCCGCGTTGCACACGCACCAGTCCTCCCACATCTTCGAGGCCAGCAGCAGGCACACGGTGAGGAGCGGGCGCCAGGACCGGGCCGTGAGCACGCCGGTGCTGAGCTCGCACCTGTCCAGGAGCCGGTCCATGAATCGGGGCGACGCAAGACTCGGGTTCGGCGGACTCGGGTTGGCCTGACGGGGCCATGATGAGAATGACGAGACCCAATCGGAGATTTGACGCGAGCTCCCGCTGCAAGCATCGCCACGACGTCAGGGCCGCCAAGATCCAGGACGCGCTCGTCAGAAAACGTCGGCTAACCCGAGTCCCAGCGCACTCGTCGAGTCTTACGAGTCCCCGAATGTACACCAGCGCCACCAAGATCAGGTCGGGAGGCAGCGCACACCACGTGGCGAAGCCCAACAGGAAGCCGGAGACCTCCACCGCGCCCGGCGGCTTGCTCGGAGCACACACGTCCTCGCACGGTAAGGGCTCGGGTGGGGCCCCCCCCGGGCAGCGCCAGCTCACCTCAGCAGGCCCCCCACAGGGTCCGGGGCGGCCTCGGCACCTCAAGCCTGGGGCGCGGAGCGCCCCAGGGGCCGCTGGAGGCAGCGCGAGGGTGTGGAGACCGGCCCGGACCGCTCGGGGGGCCTCCTGAGGCCGACCAGCTGGGCCTGAGTACCTATGGGGTGGGGGGGCTGTCTGCGTGCAGCCCGAGGCCTTACGCGTCGGTCGGGAGAAGTAGGTCAAGGCATGAAGTAGGAAGGCGGATAGATAGTAGATTGGGTTCAGGCCCTCCCAGAGAATAGCAAAACACGTCAAGGCCGTGCCGATTCTTGAAGTAGGAAGGCGCCTGAAGTATGTATATTGGGATCTGGGAGTCCAAGAATACCTACTTCCGACGACCGGCGCGCACCTACCATCCTTGCACCACCCCAGCCAGGAGCCGCGCCCCTGCCGCCCGCCGCAGCGCGAGCGGGACCTGGGGCGCAGACGGACATGCTGGGACGACGCGCCTCTGTGGGAGACGCAGGCCCGACCCGAGCCACTTAGCACAGCCTGCCTGCTGGCACATCGCTTCCCGAGCAGACAGCGCCCGCCACGGCGCTGATGCAGAAAGGTGTCCGAGCAGGCGCGTCGCCCTTGCGTGGCCGACGCACACGTGGCGGGTTCCGGAGACCCCGAACCCAAGACTGTTGCCCTCTCTTGGGGGCGCATTACTCTACTTCCGCCACCTTCCGCCGCCCTTCCGCCAGCCTCCGCCGGCGGAGGCGCCCCCGTTTTACTTCCGCCGCCTTCCGCCGCCCTTCAGCGGCCTTCCGCCGCGGAAGAGATGACAACTCCTTCGATCCTCGAAGGCGAGGTCCTTTCTGGAACGCCCCATATAGTATAGGGCAGGTTACTGTCGTGCCGACTTCGGCGTTCAACCCTGAACGATCCGCCGTTCCCGAAACGTCAACACCTCCAACATCGACCGATTCTGGGTGGCCTGCCGGTCGTCACGACGCGAACCTGCCGCATGTAGAGGAACAACAAACAGCATAAACATAAACTCTCGCAGGTCCGCGCGGATTTCTTGGATCTGTGGAGCGCGCCAGGGGCGGCGCCAGAGGCGTCGCCAGGGGCTCCACAACGCGGATCCAAGAAATCCGCGCGGAGCGTCGAAAGTTAATGCGTCTGCCGCCGCTTGGCTCGTCGAGTGTGTGCGGGCGGTGCCGAGAACCCGCGCCACCCCCGCAGGCCGTCGAAGCAGCGCTCCTCGAAGATGCCCAGGAGGGGCGGCCGGCAAGCCCCCCCCGCCGCGCCCGCGCCGCCCCGGGGGGGCGCCGAGCCCCCGCGCAGCCGCCGGTAGACGCGGCGCGCCACGAAGGCGACCGCCACGTGGAGCCGCTCCTCGTCGCCGTCTGCGGGCGCGGGCCCGCAGGCGGCCTCGGCTCGTGAGCGTTGTCTTGAGGGGCCTGTTTTCCACCACCGCTACCACCACAAGTCACAAGTTGAAGGGGGAGGGGCCTCCTCCTCCTCCTCCTCCTCCTCCTCCTCCTCCTCCTCCTCCTCCTCCTCCTCCCCCTCCAACTTATGGTGGTGGTGGTGGGAAACAGGCCGATCCTGTCTTGTTCGGCGTTTCGACAGTGGGCGGAAGGGGGCGGGAGGGCGGGGTCTGGCTCTGGACCTCTGCTTCGGGCGGCTGTCCGCAGCACTGCGCCCCACGGAGGAGGCTCCCCCTGCCTGAGACAGGCGCCCAAAACAGCCACGACCTACTCCACGGGGGAGGGGGGGAAGGGGGGTCTGAGGACCACCGCCAAAGGGTAAAACAGTACGTCAAAAACGATCCCCAGCTCGGGGCGCCGAGGCATTGTTTCGCAGCGGGCGTTTGCGCCCAGATTCGGGCCCCGGGCCCCTGACAGATCGATCCGGCTCGAAGAACGGCGTGGACAAACAGGCTCTGAGGCTCTGGTCGTGATTGTTCGCGATGTTGCAATTCTTGGCAACGTCGGATCGGGGCGGGTGCACCCTCGGGCCCAGCATCCTCCGATGTGATTTGTTCGACCTGCGGCCCCAGAACTTCTGACCCCATCTCCCCTGGGGGCACGTTTTCGTCCCGGATGCATATCTGATGGTCTCGGGGCCCGCTCACGGCCCGCAGAGGTTGACAACAACCGGATCGTCGGAAATCCTGGCCACTGCGTGCGACGAGCGGGACGAGGAGGAAAAGGAGGAGGAGGACGACGAGGAGGACGACGACAACGACAGGAGGACGACGAGGAGGACGACGAGGAGGAAGAGGAGGAGGACGACGAGGAGGACGACGACAGCGACGAGGAGGACAGGGCGGAGCGCTGCCGTGAGCGAGAACGGCCCCTGAGAGATCCGACGCTGCGAAAGATCGCAGCATCGTGAAAAGCCACGACCGGAGCCCCGGACCCCATCTTTTCACCAGCCTGGAACATATCCCTATCCCTAAGTTGGGCATCGCCTCATCACAATGCCGATCTTAGGGATTCTCTGAGTTTTTCAGGGCGCATCCCTAAGATTGTCATCGCCTTTTGGCGTGTCAATCTTAGGGATAAGGATAAGTTCGAGGCTCGTGATCTTTCTGCATCATTTTTCGAACCAGATCTATGTGAGGCTGAGGGGCCCAGGGCACGACATTGGGCGAAAACGCCGTGCGTGAAAAAATTGCAGCGCCAGGATCTCAGGGGCCCTCCAGGGCATCCGCACCTCGGGCCCGGCGGCGCTGGCGCTGCCCGCGCGGCCCTCGCCGCGCCGGCGGTCGAGGCGGCCCAGGAGGTCCGCCTCTGCGAGGCGGGGATGTATCCACATCCACCGCCTGGGAACCGACGTCCTGGTGCCCTAGCGGGCGGTGGATATGGATATGGATATGGATATGTTTATATCCATTAACTCCCCACATCCTAAGTGGGGTTCTTGTTCCCTACATCCCAAGTGGGGTTCTTGTTTTCTCTGGACGGCCGCGGGCCACACACACACACACACACATCCACACCCACACCCAGTCACACACACACATACAGGTTGCGCACAAAAGTAGCTAGCTACAGTGTCTGGGTAACGGAGCCCCTCGGACGAGGGAGGGCATCGGCACAGCTATCTACAGATGTCACACACACATCACAATCATCACACTATTCACACAGGACTAGCAGTCTATGTCGCATTCATGTTTTTCAGTAGTCTGATGATCTGTGGATTCCACGTTCGGTCGTGTCATTCCATTGCGATCGTCACAGCTTCGCGCGGTAATCGGATTCCCACACGTGTCTATCCTGGCATACAGCGTATCCACGCCCACGACACTGCAATTGACCCCCAAGGCGGCGCAATTCCATGCGTACGTCCCGTTTTGCTGTTCGCCTTTGTTTTTGCGGGAAGCGGACCTACTGTTGGACCCTAGGGGGACCCACCTTCCCAACATTTTATTTGTATGGCCTTTTCCAACGGCTATCGGAATCAGAGAGCCCGCTCGAACGGAATGACCCTCAGGGGCATTCCATGCGAGCCCGCTCGCGCGGAAGAGACCTCCCCTGTGGCCCCTAGGGGGTCCCACCTAAAAGCTGGAATTCCAACGGCTACCGGAATCAGCGAGCCCGCTCGAACGGAATGACCCTCAGGGGCATTCCATGCGAGCCCGCTCGCGCGGAAGGGGCCTCCCCTGTGGACCATCAGGGGGTCCCACCAAAAAGTTCGGACATTCAAAACGGCTATGACGGCATCAGCCGAGCACGCTCGAACGGAATTGACATCAGGGTACATTCAACGCTGATCGCCGAGGTCAGGTCATTGCCCGTGCTTCGAAGCGCGCTCGATAGGATGCCTATTATCCTTTTCCAACTTCCCCTTTTAGGGATTCCCCACCTACCTTATACTTTTTGCCCCTTCCGCGCTCTTCTAAAGGGGTGGTCCCTGCCTTTGGTCTTGTTTCTCTTCGGGTCCTTCCCAGGTCCCACTTAAAAGTTGGAATTCCAACGGCCAGCGGAATCAGCGAGCCCGCCCGAACGGAATGACCCTCAGGGGCATTCCATGCGAGCCCGCTCGCGCGGAAGGGACCTCCCCTGTGGCCCCTATGGGGTCCCACCTAAAAGTTGGAATTCCCACGGCTATCGGAATTTGCGAGCCCGCTCGAACGGAATGACCCTCAGGGGCATTCCATGCGAGCCCGCTCGCGCGAAAAGAGGAGGAGGAGGAGGAGGAGGAGGAGAAGGAGGAGAGGGGAGGAGAGAAGGAGAAGGGGGAGGAGAAGGAGGAGGAGGATAAAGAGGAGGAGGGGGAGGAGGAGGAGGAAGGGGGAGGAGGATTTCAACCGCGGTGCCTTCAGGAGGAGATGGTTGAAATGGACGTTTGTCGAAGAGGACGTGGAGGAGGACGAGGAGGAGACGGAAGAGGCGCCGGAGAAGGAGGGGGAAGAGGGGTGGGAGGAGGAGGAGGGGGAGAAGGAGGAGGAGGAGGAGGAGGAGGATGGGGGAGGAGTGGGAGGAAGAGGAGGAGGAGGAGGGGGAAGAGGGGGGGCAGGAGGAGCAGGACGAGTGGGGAGGAGAGAGGGGGAGGGAGGAGGAGGAGGAGGTGGAGGAGGAGCAGCAGCAGCGTCAGCAGGAGCAGCATCATTCTGATAGTGTACAGATTCCAAACAAAATTGGGTTTTCATGTGGGGTCCATCCGTTGGAGAAATTTTCTCTGGACAGCCGCCGGCCATTCCCACCCACACCCATTCACACACACACACACAAACAAACAAACAAACACACACACACACACACACACCATGATCATCATCCTCGGGCATTCCATGCGAGCCCGCTCGCGCGGAAGGGAATTCCAACGGCTATCGGCATCAGCGAGCCCGCTCGAACGGAATATGACCCTCAGGGGCATTCCATGCGAGCCCGCTCGCGCAGAAGGGACCTCCCCTGTGGCCCCTAGGGGGTCCCACCTAAAAGTTGGAATTCCAACGGCTATCGGAATCAGCGAGCCCGCTCGAACGGAATGACCCTCAGGGGCATTCCATGCGAGCCCGCTCGCGCGGAAGGGACCTCCCCTGTGGCCCCTAGGGGGTCCCACCTAAAAGTTGGAATTCCAACGGCTATCGGCATCAGCGAGCCCGCTCGAACGGAATGACCCTCAGGGGCATTCCATGCGAGCCCGCTCGCGCGGAAGGGACCTCCCCTGTGGCCCCTAGGGGGTCCCACCTAAAAATTGGAATTCCAACGGCTATCGGCAGCAGCGAGCCCGCTCGCACGAAATGACCCTCAGGGGCATTCCATGCGAGCCCGCTCGCGCGGAAGGGACCTCCCCTGTGGCCACTAGGGGGTCCCACCTAAAAGTTGCAATTCCAACGGCTATCGGCAGCAGCGAGCCCGCTCGCACAGAATGACCCTCAGGGGCATTCCATGCGAGCCCGCTCGCGCGGAAGGGACCCTCCCTGAGGCCCCTAGGGGGTCCCACCTAAAAGATGGAATTCCAACGGCTATCGGCATCAGCGAGCCCGCCCGAACGGAATATGACCCTCAGGGGCATTCCATGCGAGCCCGCTCGCGCGGAAGGGACCTCCCCTGTGGCCCCTAGGGGGTCCCACCTAAAAGTTGGGATTCCAACGGCTATCGGCATCAGCGAGCCCGCTCGAACGGAATGACCCTCAGGGGCATTCCATGCGAGCTCGCTCGCGCGGAAGGGACCTCCCCTGTGGCCCCCAGGGGGTCCCACCTAAAAGTTGGAATTCCAACGGCTATCGGCATCAGCGAGCCCGCTCGCACGGAATGACCCTCAGGGGCATTCCATGCGAGCAGGAGGAGGAGGAGGAGGAGGAAGGGGGAGGGGGATTTCAACCGCGGTGCCTTCAGGAGGAGATGGTTGAAATGGACGTTTGTCGAGGAGGACGTGGAGGAGGACGAGGAGAAGACAGAAGAGGCGCCGGAGGAGGAGGGGAAAGAGGGGTGGGAGGAGGAGGAGGGGGGGAAGGAGGAGGAGGAGGAGGAGGAGGAGGAGGAGGGGGAGGAGGAGGAGGATGGGAAGGAGTGGGAGGAGGGGGAGGAGGAGGAAGATGGGGGAAGAGTGGGAGGAAGAGGAGGAGGAGGGGGAGGGGGGGCAGGAGGAGCAGGACGAGTGGGGAGGAAAGAGGGGGAGGGAGGAGAAGGAGGAGGAGGAGGAGGAGGAGGTGGAGGAGGAGCAGCAGCAGCGTCAGCAGGAGCAGTACCATTCTGATAGTTTACATATTCCATACACAATTCGTTTTTCATGTGGGGTCCATCCATTGGAGTAATTACGCATTATTCATGTATTAGTTATATATTTGTTTATGTATGTGTTACTTTATCTATTCATGTATTCACTATGCATTGTGTATTGATTGATGTGTTCATTTGTCTATT